CGCAGCTGTCGCCACTTTCGTGGGTTCCTGGGAGGCCCAGCGGAGGTACGTCCTACGCAGATCATTGTGGGGCCTCCGTGTCCCTTGCGGGGCTGCGATCTGCGCAGCTGTCGCCACTTTCGTGGGTTCCTGGGAGGGCCCAGCGGAGGTACGTCTTACGCAGATCACTTTGAGGCCTCCCTGTCCCCTGCGGGGCTGCGCTGGGCGCACCTGTCGCCACTTTCGTTGGTTCCTGTGAGGCCCAGCGGAGGTACGTCTTACGCAGACCACTTTGAAGCCTCCCTGTCCCCTTGGTGCACCTGGCGCGCACCTGGTGCGCTGGGCGCACCTGACGCTCCGACGCGCTGGGCGCACCTGGCGCGCACCTGACGCACCTGCCGCACCTGCCGCACCTGCCGCACCTGGCGCGCCTGGCGCGCCTGGTGCAACTGGCGCACCTGGCGCACCTGGCGCGCACCTGGCGCACACCTGGCGCACACCTGGCACACCTGGTGCATCTGGCGCACCTGGTGCACTTGGCGCGCTGGGCGCACCTGGCGCGCCTGTCGCACCTGGCACACCTGGCGCACCTGGCGCACCTGTCGCACCTGGCGCACATGGCGCACCTGGCTCACTTGGCGCGCCTGGCGCAACTGGCGCACCTGGCGCAACTGGCGCACCTGGCGCACCTGGCGCGCACCTGGCGCACACGTGGCGCACACCTGGCGCAACTGGCGCACGTGGCGCGCGCCTGGCGCACACCTGGCGCGCACCTGGCGCGCACCTGACGCGCGCTGGGCGCAGCTGGCGCACCTGGCGCGCTGGGAGCACCTGGCGCGCACCTGGTGCCCCTGGCGCGTTGGGCGCACCTGGCACACCTGGCACACCTGGCGCACCTGGTGCATCTGGCGCACCTGGTGCAATTGGCGCGCTGGGCGCACCTGGCGCACCTGGCGCGCCTGGCGCGCACCTGGCGCACACCTGGCACACCTGGCGCACCTTGCGCATCTGGCGCACCTGGCGCACGTGGCGCACCTGGCGCGCTAGGCGCACCTGGCGCACCTGGCGCACCTGGCGCGCTAGGCGCACCTGGCGCACACATGGCGCACACCTGGCGCACACCTGGCTCACTTGGCGCGCCTGGCGCACCTGGCGCACCTGGCGCGCCTGGCGCGCCTGGCGCACCTGGCGCACCTGGCGCACCTGGCGCGCCTGGCGCCACTGGCGCACCTGGCGCACCTGGCGCGCCTGGGGCGCCTGGCGCACCTGGCGTACCTGGCGCAGCTGGCGCACCTGGCACACCTGGCGCGCTGGGCGCACCTGGCGCACCTGGCACACCGGGCGCACACCTGGCGCACACCTGGCGCACACTTGGCGCACCTGGCGCACCTGGC